CTCCCCCCCTCTTCCTAGCATGATACCATGGCCACATTGGAGAAATGGTGCTCAGGAATTTCTCGATCAAGCTGCTAACCGACTGGAACTGGGATTGGGTTTTTACTTAGGAAAAAAAAAAGACAGTCTGAAAAAGAAAGATTTTGCCTCCGAGGAAAGGAAAAAGCAGGAGTCCCGAGAGGAGAGAGCGGGAGAAGAGAGGCAAACCTTCGTGGCACCCATTAAAATTCAAACGATACAAAAGAGAATGAAGATTAGCATGGCCCCTGGACAAGGATGCCACGCATAAATCGAGAAATGGTCCAAAAAAAAAAAAAAAAAAAAAAAAAAAAAAAAAAAAAAAAAACAAAACGGAACAGCAGGAAGGGGGAGAAGAGAGAGGGAAAGCCAGAGAGTGGGAGAGAGAGGCACAGTAAGGTGGAAGGAAGGGAGGCAGAAAGCTAGAAGGGGGGAGCAGGAGATTGAACAGGGTCGTCAGAGAGTGGGACTTGCCCTCCGGGCCTCAGCCCTCGACTAAGTCCCACCAAGTCCCACCAAGTCCCACCAAGTCCCACCCCTCGGCCAAGTCCCAGCGAGTCCCACCCATTCCTACCCCTCGGCCAAGTCCTACCCAGTCCCACTCCTTGGGCCCCCCCCCCCCGAAGTCCCACCAAGTCCCCAGGACGAGAGTGGGACTTTGTGTGGGAGGCGAGTCAGAGCAGGAAGCGCGGCGAATAGCTGTGCCGAATGCTGACTAGGATGGCTGTCAGAAGAGATCAAGCCGCTTGTCATATGAACACCGTGCATTTCATAGGCGAAGCAATAGCAGGCTGCGCATGTCATATGAACGTCGTGCATTTCATAGGCGAAGCAATAGAACAGGCTGATGCGTGCCCAATCACACGCGATCTGTGCGTGCGTGTGCGTGTGCGTGTGCGTGTGCGTGTGTGCGTGTGTGTGTGTGTGTCTGTGTGGGGTGCACCTGTGCCCGTGCGGGGCTAACAAACTTGTATTGTTTTTACCGAGAAAGAGGGGACAGGGGGAAGACAAGAAGTAAACAAGCGACCGAGAGAGAGAAAGAGAGGAGGAGGAGGAGGAGGAGGAGGAGTTGTTCATACAGGTTCCAAATCGCTTTGCCGGCTAGAGTGGCGAGTCGACGATAGAGAACAAGTACGAACAAGTAAAAAATAATGCTTTAAAGCAGTCGGGAAAGAAAAGACGAGTATGTGTGAGCAGATGAGACAGCTCTCTTCTACATGGCGTTGATCCTGGGCAGATGGGCAATCATAACACATGACCAGAAGAGACGGAAAGAGAGCAAACGAAGACATTTGACGATCCGCGAACGACCAATCTGTCCATTGATCCATTCGAACCCAACGAGCAGAAAAAAGAAAGGACAAAAAACGACCGATCTAGCTGGTTAGATACAGGCCGACTTTGATGTTACATTGCTATTCATCATAATTTGCTTGGCGATGCACACAGTACATAATCTATTAGTCAAAATCTGCTCAACGACGCGCAAAGAGACTCAGTTTTAGTGAAAATCTGCTCAACGACGCGCAAAGAGACTCAGCTTTAGTGAAAATGTGCTCAACGACGCGCAAAGAGACTCAGTCTTAGTGAAAATGTGCTCAACGACGCGCAAAGAGACTCAGTTGTAGTGCAAATCTGCTCAACGACGCGTAAACGAACTCCGACAGGAACAATGGCAGAAGAAGTGAAAGCTACTGAATCACACACACACACACACACACACACACAGAGAGGCTACTGAATTACACACACACAGACACAGAGAGAGAGAGAGAGAGAGAGAGAGAGAGAGAGAGAGATCGCCGAGAGGCAGGCAGTCATGGTGCGTCTCTATTCATTCTAACTTGCATTCTGAAAATATACTCAACAGGCGGGAAGGGCAGGAACACAGAAAACCTCAGAAACAACAGAGTAGAAATACAGAGAAATCACAACTAAGAGAGAGAGAGAGAGAGCGAAAGAGATGGAGAGAGAGAGAGAGAGAGAGAGAGAGAGAGAGAGAGAGAGAGAGAGAGAGAGAGAGAAAGAAGAGTAACAAACAGGAAAAGGAAACGCGTCGACAGCGAGCGAAACTGAAACGTCGAATAGGTGTCGATAGGATTAGCGACCCATAGAGCGAGCGCGCGGGGGGGCGGGGGAGAGAATGGAGGGGCACGCGGAAGGGTAGAAGGGGACGGAGAAAGTGGGATCGTGACACACACACACACACACAAAAAAAAAAAAAAAAAAAAAAAAAAAAAAAGACGCGAAGACGGACGAAAGGAGGTATGACGAGGTATGGGAGGCAAAACAAAAATAATAAAAAAGTTATGTACACGTAACTGCGACGTCGCGCCCATCTCTCATCTTCTCCCCCTCCCCCCTTTTGGTCACACCACCTGCAATATTCCCCACTCTCTCTCAGTCACCAGATTACACTCACTGCTTCTGCCGCCGTATTACTTCAGCTCGAATAATGCCAAGCCAGCGGAATTAATCATCGAGGGGCCTGATTCAGGTCCCTTCCAGAGGTATCCTTAAGCGCACCCAATTCTGATCTTCTCCTCGTACAGTGATCTGTCCCGTAGTCCGGGTCTTTCTGCTGATCCTGGTTGTCCTGCTTTATCCTCTGGTCTATCCTCCTCTTCTCTTGGTCTTAACGTACTGCTGGGCCTGTACAACTACCCGTCTTCCCCCGAACACAACGCACCCTCATTCTGACTGTATCTGGCCGGAAACATACCTTGTATACTTTCCTTTTCCTTTTCAGGGTGCGTTATGTTCGGCGGAAGACGGTAGTGGCAGCCTTGGCCAGTTCCCTGGTCCTGGTTCTGCTCGCTCCTGTGGTCCTGGTGCTGGTCCCTTCTGGTGCTGGTCCTGGTCCCTCCTCTAGTCCTGCGTCCGGGTCCCTCCTCTCGTCCTGATCCTGGTCCCTCCTCTGGTCCTCGTTCTACTTGCTCCTCTCGTCCTGATCCTGATCCCTCCTCTGGTCCTGCTACTGGTTCCTCCTCTGGTCCTGCTACTGGTTCCTCCTCTGGTCCTCCTGCTCCCTCCGCTACTCCTGATCCTGATCCCTCCTCTCCGGTGCTTGTCCTGGTCCTGATCTCTGTCCTGGTCCTGATCTCTTAATCTACGTCTCTCCTATAGTTTCGATCTGCACCTTGGTCCTAGTTTTCGGCCCACTATTCCTCTGAGCCCCTCCTCTACGGTCTTGGTCTTGGTCCCGCCTCTGTTCTTGGGCCCTCCTGGTCTTGGGCCCTCCTGGTCTTGGTCCCGCCTCTGTTCTTGGGCCCTCCTGGTGTCTTACTCAGTCCTCCTCTCTCCTCTGGTCCCGCCTCTGGTCCTGGGCCCTCTCCTCCTGGTGTCGTACTCGGTCCTCGTCTCTCCTCTGGTCCCGCCTCCGGTCCTGGGCCCTCTCCTCCTGGTGTCTCAGTCCTCTCTCCTCTGGTCCCGCCTCTGGTCCTGGGCCCTCTCCTCCTGGTGTCTCAGTCCTCTCTCCTCTGGTCCCGCCTCTGGTCCTGGGCCCTCTCCTCCTGGTGTCTTACTCAGTCCTCTCGCCTCTGGTCCCGCCTCTGGTCCCGCCCCCGGTCCTGGGCCCTCTCCTCCTGGTGTCTTACTCAGCTCAGTTCTCGTCTCTCCTCTGGTCCCGCCTCCGGTTCTGGGCCCTCCTCTCCTCCTGTTGTCTTACTCAGTCCTCGTCTCTGCTCTGGTCCCGCCTCTGGTCCTGGGCCCTCTCCTCTGGTTCTGCTAGGTCCTCCACCTTGGTCGTCGCGTTTTGCCCACGACTGCTCTCCGCCCCTCGCTTCTCCTTCTCCTTTCATAGTTCCTGCCTTGAATTCGTGGTCCTCCTCCTCCTCTGGTCCCCCTTGACATACAGTAATTCGAAAAGTAATCGCATGCTCGTCGCCGTCAGATTGTTGAGAAATCGCGTGTCGTCGGAATCCCTTTCGGTTTTATTAGATCGCGCCCTTTCTTGACAATCTAATCAATTAGTGACACGACAATCTGATCGATTAGTGACCATTACACGCCCGATTAGCCCCCTCCGCCTCCCCCTCCCCCCCCCACCCCCCCGCGGCCTAATTAAGCCCTCCCCTCATAATCCAAGAAGACGGTGCTTTATGATCAACACAACGAAAGCAAAGGACAACATCAACCTACCCACCCACCCACCCACTGGACTCGGGTCGAGTGCTATTATACGTACAACCTGCTCGCCTTGCCTGTCAAGATAAAAATAAGCAATCCCTTCCACTTACCCTGGACACTTTCTTTACCCGCCAAAATTTCAATGTTCCAAGAGAGAGAACCTCCTCCTCCTTTCAACAACAACCCGGCCACCTCCAGCGCAGACCCCCCTCGAGCCCCCGCTGCCCACCCGCCGATCTATCATATCATATCACATCACATCACACCACCTCCTCCTCCTCTTTCCTCGCGCTACTTTCCATCTCACAGACCATCTCCTCTTTCCCGCCATCGCCTCTCTCCCGCGCTACCTTCCATCACACACGACGATCTCATCTTCCCGCAAGTTACCTGCCACTTGAACCTGACTCCCATTCCGGTCGAATTCTGACCCAGGCCTGGATCGATTACGAAGTCCCGATACATCATCAATTAACCATCTTTCTTCTTCTCGTCATCCATTACCAGTTGTCACGGCTTGCCAGGTCGGACTCCGCGCGCAATTGCACGTAGCGCCGTGTCACACCTCCCCTCTCCCCTTCCCCCCACTCCCTCCCCTCCTTTGTCTCTTCTTCTTCTCTCTTTCTTCGCTCTCTTGCCTGCCTCTCCGTCTGTCTTTCTACCAATCCACCTACCTCTATCTTCTCTGCCTTTTCACTCCTATCTCCCCCCGCCACCTGTTTCATCTCTCTCTCTCTCTCTCTCTCTCTCTCTCTCTCTCTCTCTCTCTCTCTCTCTCTCTCTCGTTTCACGTGATGCTAGCACTTTTGCCAGAGCTCCTAGCCCCCTCGCTGCTCCTACTGCCCTCGTAAGTACAGGAATCCATAACAAAGATAGATTTTCTAGCGGAAACATGTGTATCTCATACATGCCATATAGATAATGCATCATCTATGTCTGTAAATATACATACATATACATACACATAAAAATATAATAAAAGTCGCTCCCGCTCGTTTTACAAAGTATTACTGTTACCTGTTTCTGTGGAAGCGGGGGCTGAGAGGGCGCGGGGCGGGGGAAGGTGGGGCCGGGGCGGGATATGATTGGATGATGATCACTTGGCTGCGACTTTGGCTGCGACTTTGGCTGCTGGTGCTGCTGCTGCTGCCGCTGGCCGATCTACGCCATCATCCATCCCGGCTTTCCCCATGATGACATTCGCCGCTATCTGTTTATCGTGCTTACTTCTTCTCCTCTTCTCGTACTCCTCGTATCCATCCATCTTCTGCAGATCCTCGACGGTGATCGGGTTCCCGTGCAGGGACAGCGTGTGCAGCGACGCGCAGCCCCTCAGGAATCGCGGAGGCAGCTCCGGTATCGTGTTGCCGTCAACGTTAAATATCTTCAGGCGGCCGAGGTCGGCCAGCGACGGCGGAAGCGCCGTCAGCTCGTTGTGCTGCAAGCTCAGCTCCTCCATCGAGGTGCAAGCGCCCAGGGACTCGGGAATCGATTTGATGCGATTAATGCTGACGTCAAGATGAATCATGGCCGTTAGATTGCCCATCGCGGAGGGCAGCTGCTCTAACAAGTTGTTCGACACCGACAACCTCTCCAGCTTCTTCAGCTGGCAGAGCTCGTCGGGAAGCGCGGCGAGTTGATTGGAGTCGAGGACTACCATCTTGAGGGCGGTCAGCTGGCCGATAAAAGGGGGTAGTTTCGTTAATTGGTTCTCTCCCATCATAAGTCGCTGCAGCTGCGTGAACCCAGCCATCTCCGATGGAAGATCGGCGATCCTGTTATTGGTCGCATCCACAATCCTAACCTCCTTCAGTGTGAAGAGGACGGCTGGAAACGATTTCAACCTCTGTTCCCTCAGCCCTACTATCCCCGTGTTCTTCCATTTCTCCACACGTTGCGCTGATTCCGGCGCCTCTTTGGTCCCACAGCAACCCATTCTCTCGCCCTCAATCAATCAATCAATCAATCAATCAATCAATCGATCGATCGATCGATCGGCCAATCAATCAATCAATTGAACAATTAATCGACCACTCAATGGATCGATCAGTTAATCAAATGACCAAACCAACCAACTGAGAAACCAATCAATCAACCGATCAATCAATCAATCAATACATCAGCTAGTGACTAAATCAATAGATTGATCAATCAGTCGTTCTGTGAATTGATCAATCAACGAGGCAAGTGATTACTTATATGAGTCTCTCTCTCTCCCCCCCTTACAGCCCCTTCATCGATCGATCGATGGATCGTTCTTCATCAGCCTAAGTAAGATGTAACTATTTCTTCCTGTCCGGTCCCCTCCTCAGCCTACCTTCCCGTGACGAGTTCATAACTGCGTCTGATTGTGCCACTTGGCAATCACATCATCTTTCCTTCATGGATCTTTCCCCGCCCACCAAGAAACGCCCCGCTTCTATCTATCCTCCCCCTCCGCTAATTCCCCAACACACTGTTCCCTACTTCGCTCCCTGAACACTAGCGCCCCCCCCCCCCCCCTCTCTCTCTCTCTCCCCCCGCTACAGCCACCGTCACCCTCTCCTCTTGTTTCTCTCTCAAATCGTCGAGCCACGTGCCCTATTGATTCTTATCTGCCTTCCCTCTGTATTGAGTCCATTCCTCCTCTCTCTCTCTCTCTCTCTCTCTCTCTCTCTCTCTCTCTCTCTCTCTCTCTCTCTCACACACACACACACACACACACACACGCACGCACGCACGCGCGCACCCACACACACACACACACACGCACGCGCGCGCGCACGAACACACAAGATGAGAAAACAATGCCTACCCTCTGTCGTCGACGAGGTAGTCGCAGAAATGGTTCCTCTCGTCTCCCTCCCTCTGCGGTTGAGTCGCAGAAATGGTTCCGCTCGTCTCCCTCCCTCTGCGGTTGAGGCTACCCTACGACACGCACGACACAACACGACATGACACGGCAGAGGCAGGGCCCGGTAAAGCAAGGCACAGACAGACGCAGAGCCCGCTAAAGCAAAGCAAGGCACAGACAGAAGCAGAGCCCGCTAAAGCAAAGCAAGGCAGCTAATCGCCCAATTCTCAAAGTAGATGTCTTCATATAGTCAGCTGCACAATAAGGCCGCCCACCTAAGTCGACTGCTGGAGGACCTCACGCAACCAAACTGAGGCCTTCCTCCTTGTTGTATCCCCCCCTCCAGCCCCTGTCGTCCGTCCTTTTTTTCTTTTTCGTTTTCATTTCGTTTCTTTCTTTTCTTGTCTCTTTTCTTTTCTTTTTTTTCTTTCTTTTTTTTTTTTTTTGGATTCCAAAACGCAGTCATGACTCATGAGGAGGACGACCCCCCTAGTAGTACTAGCCTTGCTGAAACCAGATCGTGCGCGTCGGGGCCGGAGTTGTACCGTGGCAGGCATGATGCATGGGAACCAGGCGGAAGGAAAACCTACCAGCCCCGCCGTTTTGTCGGGTCTGAGGGGTCTGCACTCCCGCACAAACGCGCGTGCGGGAGTGTGCGCGGCGTGTGTGCGGCCTGTGCGCAAATGCGCGCGAGCGAGCGCCTGGGTTAGTGCATGCCTCGTGCAATTTCTCGTAGGGGGGAAACGCATCCGTGATTCAGAACAGACGATGTTGTTAGCTCTAGACCAACTCCACGACTTCGTCATCCTATCCTACCCACGATCTCACACACACACACACACGCACACACACACACACACAACACTACTTCAGACAAACGAACTCCTACTCGTAAACTCCAAAATCGCCAGATCTATCATATACCTACCATATCTACTGCGACGGCAAACTCCGTCGATCAGTTACACCTCCACGCCCTATCGAGTCAACGGTGTTGATTATATTCTTTGACAGAAAAATTCCTCTCCCCTATGTTTTTGCAATAAATTTATTATCCTTTCCAACCCAAAAACTCTCTCTCTCTCTCTCTCTCTCTCTCTCTCTCTCTGTGTGTGTGTGTGTGTGTGTGTGTCTCTCTGTCTCTGCTTTAATACTTTCTTTTTTGTTTTTTGTTTTTTTTTAGAATGGCCCTTGCGATATCCCTCTATCCTGGCCGTGGTAAGAGAACCGTCTGGATTGAGGGCTTGCCTGTCGGGCTGCTCCATCTATTGGTGGGCAGCGGCACCTGCTGGAAACCGGGTCCAGCGTCCCATGGGTACATCGTGTAACTCTGAGATTGGTGTTTGTTTTCTAACAATAACAATTTAGTAGCTTGCTCGCTCGCTCCGTTCTCTCGCTGTCTCTCAGGTGTCGTACTACCGTCTTACCCCGAATACAACGCACCCTCATCTTGGCTGTACTGGACCGGAAATATAGCTTGCATACGTTCAATTTCAGGGTGCGTTATGTTCGGGGGAAGAGGGTAGCGTCTCTCCCCGCCGGTTACGTGTTCCACACAGACAGACGCTATAAACGGGAGCCGAGCAGGTCCGAATGCAGGTCTGCACAGAGCAGCAGTCCACAGACTGACTCTGTCAACGGTCAGTCACGACGGGGCTCTGCAAACTAAAAATAGGCTGATGCCTGCTGCTTCAGCTTTAGGTTATCCCCTTCACCCGTCATGGTGTTAGGGTCGGCGATTCTTTCTTTCTTTTACCTTTTTCCTTTTTTATTTATTTTTAGTCAGAAAAGAAAAAAAGAAAAAAAAAAGAGCACAGTCTAAGCCCCTGTCTATTGGTGCCGTTCAGACCTGTTTTCTGACACGCTGAAATCTGACAAACGGACTCACCACGCTCCTTCCACCTCAGCACTAGATTTTTTTATTTTTTTTTTTAGCACTATACTACTCTTTTCGTTTTTTTGGCACACTCTGGAAGGGCAATGACCTTGAGATAACCAGCGTTATTTAACTTTTTTTTACTTTTTTTTTTTTTTCCCCAAAAGAAGGCGGTCATTCCATTATATGCTGGAAAGCGGGTCCGGCGTCCCTCACATATAACCGCAGCCATACAGGGCTGGGAAAAGCACTCCCGACCAATCCCATCCCTGACTGCAGCCCAAAAGACTCCCAAAGCCTAACTACTCACCACAAGAATGCAATGACTTGCTGATTTCTGCTGCCGAGATTGACTGCGAGGCTGTACACTAACCGGTAGGTTAGATTCGTAATTTTGTTTGGGTGAGGGCTAGCCGAGAGACCTGGCTGTAAGGAAATTCGTGAGGGACAGATTTGCAAATCCTGGAAAGTACAGACCCATCTCTAACCGAATTCCTACAGCTACCCTAACTGCCTATAGCAGGCCTGGGCTACCCCTACGACAGACAGGCCCTAAGCGGCCTATACTGCTAGACGGTCCTATAGCCTATAGCCGGGTCCGGTAGAGGCCGAGAGGCCGAAACAGCAACGGTACCGGTTGGTCAGTCAGTCCGGTCTAGGTCTAGAGAGTCTATAGATAGGTTAGGCCCATCAATTCGGGGCTTTTGGCATTTCATTTTCGCGTTACCACATTCGTGGCCAAGGGAGATTTGCAGCACTGAAAGTCTACAGCGGCATCTGGGACTTCAGCCGAGTGAGGCAGCCATAGCCAGCTGAGTGGGACGGCCATAGCTGGGGCCAGTCTCAGCGCATCTACCCTCTGGGGGCATCTGCGCCAAGCAGGGCTACTTCGGGGCTCTTCGTTGGGTACATGTGGGTGTTGCTGCTACGGTAGCGGCTAGGCAGCCATAGCTGCCTTCTACTTCGTCAGAGTGACTCATCGGCACTGAGGACTACATCGCAGTTCATGATCTTCATCTTGGTGGATGACGCTGGCCTCTGGGAGGCTGTTTTAGTGTAGCGCTGGACCCTGAGAGTGGAGTAGTGGGTGGAGTGTGTGGTTCTGAGGTGGCGAGACACTGGTTAAACTCTGTAACGATTACTGGGGTTAATTGAGTTGAGTTGGCTCATCATCAGGGTTATATTCCGATTGTGATCTTCACAGTGTCATCTTGTAATTGGTTGTTGGGAGTTTGTCAGAGAGAGAGAAACATTGTGTGTATTCTCCCCATCTGTGCATGGTTGCTACTGTGTACAGTTTGGATTCTGTCTCTCCTCCCCTTTGTCTTGTGCATGTATGGGCATGTGTGAGATACTCTGTGTGTGAGTGGCAAGAAAGTTGTCAGACAACCAACTTCATAACAAGAACCCCAAAAGACCTTGAGCCAAAGCTTCCTAATTCACAGCCAATGGGTGGGAATCAGACAGTATACAGGTTCAACCCCTGGGGTCAAGTCCTGGGCAGGTGCCTGACCCGGGGGCCAAGTCCCACTAGCAGCGTTGAGCTACCTCAACGCTTGAATGTGGACGCTTTTCCGGAGATGTGCAGAAATGGTGTTGAGTTTCCTGAACTGCACGTCTCCACAAACACGTCCAGATTCAAGCGTTGAGGGAGCTCAAGGTTGCTAGTGTCCCGGGACACACCAATTACCTTACAAATCCATGGGGGAGATAGCCATACTAAAGACAGGTACATCCAGCAAACCCAGAGCAGCAGTGCAAGGTGGACGATGGGATGAGGACACAGTTACAAAGGAAAGGATCTAAAGACTCAGGATGGGATGACCAGGGGAAAGGGCAAAACGGAGTCCAGCTGGGTAGGCAGGAACACAGCAGGACGTGAAGCTATACGCCATGCAACGGCGTGGCAACACACTGCCTCAAGCACTCAGTCTGCAAGAGGATGGGAGGGAACAACCCTCAGGCCCTGTCTCAGCCCCAGAATCTCCCATTGTCATGTTCGGGGCTCGCCACCCCCACGTGTACTTGACTAGGCCAATTCCCGGTATCCTCAGCCCCCTATTCACTGATGTTATGGCATCATGAGCCAACCTGTGGTGGAGAGCAGAAGGTTTGAGGGTTTAAGGAAGTATTGAGGAGAGACATAACATCAGTGAATAGGCGGCTGAGGATACCGGGAATTGGCCTAGTCAAGTACACGTGGGGGTGGCGAGCCCCGAACATGACAATCGGAGATTCTGGGGCTGAGACAGGGCCTGTATATACAGAGCTCCAAAAAGTGAAGGGTAACACTAGCAGGCCCAAGGTGATGAATGGAGCCCCAAACTGTGAAAGTATGCAGGCCACAACCCAAATAAACAAAAACAAGAATTATAAGATCTGAAAACGTATGGCACGAAACAAGGTTAAGCTAGACGTAGGCTGTCAGGTAGGCAAGCAGCTCAGACTGCTGCGCAGTGCTGCCGGCCAAATTTCACTTCCGCAGATGAGGCCCTCTACTGGTTGTCATCACAACTTCATATTTGTTTAAACAAGCAATCTGAATGTTCAGGGATACTGGACCCGCTTTCCAGCAGGTGCTGCTCCCCACCAATAGATGGAGCCTCCCAGGAAATGCTAGTGGTGTCTGCTCTTACCAACAACCCTAGCCTCCTCTGGAGTTGTTTGTGCAAAAAAAAAAAGAGGAGTTGCTACAGCACACGGGAACAGCTGTCTCTTATACACATCTAG